AATTCTGCTTCTTCGTCAAAAAAAAAAAGGAAAATGTTCATTTTCTCAAAAATCCACGCTCTTTCCCAACCCTGAAATTCCACAAACCTTCCACCAAGCACATCGAGAGACAACGAGATGCTAACAAAAGGGTGGGCGATAAAAAATCGTGGAAAAGATGCGACGACACAAAAGCGCAGGAGGAAAATCCCGGGAAGATTCATATTCGGCGTCGAGCGACGCCAAGCCGGTGCACTCGCGTTGCGAAAGCACGTGACTGCACCAGCAAAATTAGCATACGCGGAGAACACGATCCGGCGGCCGAGATCGTCAGAAAACGCGAGTTGACAACGCGACAATGAACCTCTCCCGGCGAGGAAGCCATATCGCGGCGTGGAACGTGATCGATCGATGAGGATCTCGATCTCTTTTCGATCCTAAGATCGGTGGAACTCGTGACCTCGAACACGACGGATGCAAGACAGTGAGTAATTTGTGAATCGTGATGATCGTTGAAACGTGCGTTCTTTCTCGTCGTTGAATTCGGAGTTTCACGTTGGTTTACGGATTTTTTGGTTCGTAGGGCGGAAGTTGGATTTGCAGTGATGAAAAATTAATTATGTATATCGATCGAATATGTGACGAAGAGTTTGATGGAGTTTAAGGGAGTTTGACAAATAGTGTTGGATGGAATATATTATTGGAAGTTGGATTATTAGGATTTGTTATTTTGTTTTTTTCGTTTGTTGAAAAGTTTATTATTAACAAAATATTCGAGAAAAGTTTTTGAGAATTTTAATCAACGAAGAGAAAAGTAAGTTATTTTCTTGTTTCGAAGTCGATGAATTATTTATATATATATATATATAGCGATTTTTTTATTTGAAATTTGAAATACGAGATTTTTAAATCTTGAAAAGATATTTTGAAGTTTATCTCAGAGAAATATATAGAAAATTTCTTTGTTGCAAAAATTGATGATATCGATAGTGTTTTTAATAAATCGCGAGTTAAAAAAGGAAGAATAATTATAAAATTACATTTATTCTAATTTTGAAATCATAGTCGAAGTGAAGATGGCGAAGAGAGATGCACGCGCTTTAAATAAATCAAATACTTCAAATAAACAAGAATCTTAACTTGGAAAGTCGGATTAAAGTGGCTTAAATACCGCGAAAAATTTCACATTCGTAAAGACAAATGTGAAAGTTGCTCGGTTCACGAATATCTTTAATCTTAAAAATAACGAAGACGTGATCTGGTTTGCACTTGAGGTAGAAATTACGTCAAAGAACATCTCTCACTTCCTTACGTTTAATTTTGGAGCCTGGGAATCTTATGAAGTTGGGTGTGATAAAATACAGCGAGCATCCAGCGTGAATCATTTTACCAAGAATTCTTCATTTGAAAAACAAATCATATTCGTATTTACAAATCGAAATTTTTTTCTTCCAACTTTTCGAACGAATTCGAGCCCTGATCCATCCGTATCAAAAATTCATAATAATTGTAAAGAAAAACGAATTAGATTCGTCGTGTAGAAATTTTCTTTCTCTCTGAAAAAATTGATTCGAAAATTGGGTGAAAATTGGTTGTGCCGTTGTTTCAGAGTACTTGATTAGGTTTCATTAATTGTCCTGGAGGAGGAGGAACGTCGCATAGAGGAGTTACTAAATTAAAGGTCTTTGTAGTCCTCGGAGCAAAAGCACGACTGTAATCTTGCCAAGTGCGAGGAAGCATAATGGTATTGTAACACCGACTAATTTTACCGGCAATGGAAATGGCCTTTTCTTTCTTGACGTGATTACTCGTTAAGTTTGCAGACGAGCCACGTGCTCCACGTTGAATTGCAATTATTACTGTCATGTTACTTAGTAATTTATGTCACCTCCCTCTGATAAATTTTCGAGGACAATCTTCAACTATTATTAGACATTATTTCATACTTTTGTCTTCACTTGCTCGCTAACAATATTTTTATTTATAACTGAAGTGCTCGAGGAGTGAGTACAAATCGACAAACATTCGAAAGGAAGATACAGGATCTCTTGAACTGCTATGGAGATATTACTATGGAGACGGTAGAATTATTAAATCTCGAGGGAAATAAATCAAAAAGAATCATAAAATTTTCAAAAGAAACAATTGAAAACGAAAAATGAGGGTAAAAATAAAAGAATTCGATGTGTATTAATTAAAATATAATGCAAAAGAAAAATATTCTTTAATTCTACATTTCGTACGCGAATTCAATAATTATAACTAACAACACATGCGATTCTTTATTCATCACCAGTGTTACAAATATAAAGTTAATTTGATCAAATTCTATTTCTATTATATTTCCAGAAGATAATTGATAATTTATACGAGTCGTGTAAATTCATCGATCAAAATTGTACACCTAATACACGCAACACGTGATCTATGGCCACGTAGCCAGATGCACTTATTACACCCCCGCAAGAAAGTGGCGCTTGAGCCGAACGAACGTAACAAACGAGTTTCATCTGCTCGTCTTTAAGAACGCATCAGTTACTCATTTGTCGACAAAAGCGGGCAGAAATACCCGGCGACCCCGAAACCCCGCGTAATTTGCCGGCTCGTCGACGGAAAAATGGCCGAGGGCCATGGAAAACGTGTCGTGTATTTTCACCTGCGCTCCCCCATCCTGCGTTGGAAAATCCGTTGTCGGAAACTCAACTTCCTGCTCGTTTTTAAAATTGCACGACCCCTTTTCGCGCTTTCTTTTCAATCATCCGCGCACGATCGCGCCTCTGGAAACGTTCTCACTCTTTCTCGTTTGAGGTTTCGAGGTTTAGAGGGAGGGAGAGAGACTTGAAAACGATTTGAAAACAGTTCGTCGTTTAGAAATGTTGATGTTTTATCCTTTTCACGTTTTATCACGTGACGTGAGATTTTCTCCCTTTGATGTCGAGTTTTTAGGAACAAGGGGAGTGAAATTGTAAGGGAGATTCGGTTCAGAGGGTGCAGAGTTTTGAAATATTACGCGGGGATATAAGATATAAGTTGTGAGAAATATCGTTTTACTTTGTCTTGAAATATTTACACGATAATGTTAATATTTACGCTGGTTTCCTTCCATAACTGTTTAATTATATATAATTATTTCGAATTTGATGAACAGTTGATAGCTGAACACGCGAAATATGCGTGAAGATTCACTTCTTTCTTTCTTCTATTTTCTATAAAAATAATTGCATTTGCGTAAGCAGCCATACAGACTAATTACCACTAATTGCTTATTGAACCCATACGTGTTGCTACTAACGTCATGATTTTCATGGCGATTGACATATCGTAAATCTGATAACGCGTTGCAGCAATTAACAAGGCCGATAGCCTCTCAAACATTTAGGGTCAGTCCCTTTGCAAGCCAGCCTTCCGTGATGGAAGGAGTCTGACATCCTACGTCACCCTTGCATATGATAGAGGATTGCAACCAACTGACTATTCATGAAGCCGATGATGACTCGCCAAACATACATCCTCGATCTATTTTGATATTTAAAATGAATTTTAAATATTCATAATAATAAAGAAAAAAATTTAATCAACAATTACCTTTCAGATATCTTTGTAAAAATGAATTGGAAGCGTTTGATATAAATTGACTGACTATTAGAATTTATCAGAGAGATTTAATTTCATCCGTTGTTTATTGAAAAGTTTCTAACTAAGGATAACTCGTGCGGATCGCGATAAAATATTATTAATCGAGAAAGAAATATAATATGTAACTCGTGTTTTGCAAGTACTCTCGTTTACACTTTGGCGTTGCATGCCGTTTGGGTTAACGAGTTTGTAAATTTGTCTGACACTCGTACCATACCCATAACACGACTTCTACACGCCATCTCTGTGACAAATTAATGTTACGGTGTCGAGTTTGAATTTTAGATGAGATAGTTGTTGGTTTATCGAATCGCGAGTTGCATCTAAGGTAGAATATCTCTTGTAGGTTGACTTCATACTCGTGGTTTACATACTGGTAGTTCGGTTATGCATTCTCGTTTCCTTTAATCTCCACGACTCGCTTATTTCTAAACCAATTTTAGGGAAAAGATATCGTTTTCACTGTGAGAACGATACGTTCATTTTGTATATATTTTATTATTCATTTTATTCTGCAATTAAATATAAAATTAGGATAGGCAAATTTAAATTTATCTACGTTTAACGTCACAAAAATGAAGTATTGAGAGTCACAAATTGAAAAATTGTAAGAGAAAACTAATAATTTTGCTATCATTCCATTCAAAATCCATTCAAAAAAAAAAATCATAGAAAAAATCATGCCATTCAAGTCACTTTTTGTTTTATTCAAATATCTCAATTGGTTGCCGAGATATAAGGATTTAAAGTCTCCATAATACTTAAGAAGTTATGAATGAATCTGCGATTCGTACAATTTTTCCTGGAAATACCTTCTTCCTTCCAGGAATCGCGTCTGTCACTTGTCTGGAGTTTGAGATAGGTCAGTGAGATGAAGTGCGAGCGAGAGGTTCGAATAAACGATTTAAAAAATTGTCCTTTTCTTTAAACGAAGATATCTCGGGAACCGGAAGTCGTATCGGAATAAATGAAAAAGCGTTTTAAAGGGGAAGATTCGATGCTTCTAATAATCGCTCATTCGTTGATAAAAAATTATTATGTTCGGAATTATAGCGATTCGAACTTTTCCGAATTTTAATCTATTTTGAAATTAAAAACGAATTAAAAATATACTCTTCTTTTTATCTCGAGAACGGAGAATCGTATTGAAATAAAGGAAAGAGCATTTTAAAGGATAACGTTTCGCGCTTCTAATAATTATCTATCCATTGAGAAAGAATTATTCTCTTCAGAGTTTTAACCGTTTAAAAATTTTCCTAATTTTAGGAATTGAAGTTTAACCAAGATAAATTATATATTTATTATTTTTTAAAATATGTTGCCTACAACGATTTCACTAATACTGTATTAAAGGCTCTAAATTTAAAGAGTTATCTTTCCCTCACTTCTCTATTCCTGTGCAACTAATTGCTCGAATTTCAATTTCAATTTCGCGAAGATATTCGAATACATCAATCACGCGCGTCCCAATTTAATTTATACCATGTCGATTCTATCTAATTGAAATTCCTTGTAAACATAACCTACAATGTATCACAGAATCTCTCGCAGGCGTACACGTCTCCTAAACAACTTTTAAACCCGTGTCCAATACAAAGAATCCATTTCCACCGAATTAAACATTTTCCTCTCTCTCTCTCTCTCTCTCTCTCTTCTACTATTTACCTTAAATTACTAAAATAGACCGAACACACA